CCCCCCCCCCCCCAAGCCTGGCCTTCCAGGGGCCCCGTCGCCTCCCGAGACCTCAGCAGTGGGCTGTCCCAGAGGGGACAGAAGGCAGCAGAACGGGCTGGGCGCTGAGGCTGGAGGAGAAAACTGGAGTCGTTTTGGTGGAGCGACGACCTCTGGAGAAAAAATTGAGTGTAAGAAAGGGAACTCAGCGGGTGACCGGGCTAATGTCATCAGACAGGACAAGCCACAAGGCTGTGTAACTTTTTATTTGAGAATAATTCCAAACACAATATTTGGTTGAGTAGGAATGACACAAAGCACACCTGAGTTCAGCCACCAAGGCTTCCAGTCCCTGAGCTGAGCATCCTTTAGGCTCGCTGCCCTCTCCATCCCCATCTTCGCATGCTCACCACCTAGCTCCATGATCAGTTACCTGTTCCGCATGCACCTCTCACAGCTGTCATTTATCTGACATCTAGTAGACTTTTAGTGTCCCCATACGTCCAAGGACTTTTCCAACTTGCACCTTTGAATAAACAGCATTTGCCAATTCTTTAGTGTTTTACAAACCTGGAGATTAAACTTTAGCAAAACAAACAAAAACCTCCCCACTTCAAAGCCTAGGGTGTTTGAGAACCTTGTCAGTTCAGTTTCTTCCACAATCCCAGCTTTAGAATTCCCTGGAAGGGGTTGGGCAGTGAGTGGGTGGTAGTGGGCTCTTTCTCTGGGCCTGGGTCGTGCTGGTTCTATGCTTCTGGGCTCCTTGAACAAATTATGGAGCATGGGTCTCTGTAGTGACCATCTGGTGTCCAGTTCCCAAAGGCAGGTGGCATGGCACCTTTTGCTGTCCATGCTGGGGACATACCATGGAGTCTGTGCTGATGTGGCCATGTGAGCTGCTTAGCTCTAGGGCAGAGTAGCATTCCTAAGAGAACCTGGCAGATTCTCAAGATGAGTCAGGCCACATGGAACCTTCATGCACAGATTACTCAGGTGTGTCTCTGATGGTCTGTTTCTGGGTTCTCTGTTCTGCCACTCACCTGTCTTCCTGTAGATATTAAATCCTGTAGCTTCATAGCCAGCATCCATGGCAGATGGTGGTGAGACGTGAGTTCCAAAGGTCTCAGGTGGCTCTACCGTTATGCCCTTTCTAGTTGCCTCTCTCTTGACTTGGCTCCACTCACTACCTGTGGCTTTCCTTAGCAGATGCTCTACATTCCTGTCATCTCCTACTTCCTAGGATCTCCACTGCACTTTTGGCTTCATTCTCACACTTTCATGTACTGCTCTCTCAAGGGCTCCTCACCTGATCTCCCAGGTTTCATTTGAAATTTGGGTGGAAGTCCCTATGACTCCAAAATTCTTATATTCTGCATGATGGTAAAACCAGCATCAAATTGATAATGCCAAGGTTTTCTGCTAGTATGAACAGTAGCCAGGACCCCATTGGGTAATGGTGACAGTGGCTTCTGAGTGGGTGGATTGCTGAACATGGTAAATGAATCCTGGGGAACCAATTCCCTAGGCAGCCCTTTGCAAACAGGGAATGAGCCCAGGATCTCTCTGCTCAAATGAAAGTTTCCTGCTTTTGCACTCTTGAGCCTGCAATGGGTGGGGTCTTGCTGATTCTTAAAATGCCCTCAAGTAATTTTTCTTCTTGTTCTCGTTCAAAGTATTTAGTGTCTTTTTAATGGTGCTAATCTCTCCAGCAACCACATTTCTTTGAGTCCAGTTTTACATGTTGTTCTTTTCAGGCCAAAATTTATGTTTTTCAAATGTTCTGCTCTGCTATTTGCTCCTACTTCTCACTATAAGTCTATTTAAGGTAGCCAGCAGTACCCATGCCACAGCCTGAATGTTGAGCTGTCATGAAATTTCTCTGCCAGATTAATTAGTCCACCACTCTTAAAGTCAACCTCCTACAAATTCTCAGGACCTAGGCAAATGAAGACAAAATTTTTTTCACAAGAGCATAACATAATGGCTTTTAGTTCACTTAATAATAGAACCCTCATTTCCAACTGAAACCTCACAAGCCTGGCCTAATGTGACCATTCCTAACAGCAATCCGTCTTCTGATGTATGACCTATTAGGCTTGGTTTATACCATTTTGGGCTTGCTTTAGCCTGATTTTCCAAAGTCCTCCTGCAAACTAGTTCTAAAGGCTTGCTTCTGAACCAAATGGTCAGGTATAGTGATAGCACAAGTGTCTTTATGAAATGTGATTGAAAAACAGTGAATGCTCCTACCAAGTGCCATCCAAAAGAAAGGGGGGCTTGTAAAAACATTACTATGTGTCCCTATTCACTTTATTCAGTGGATCTGGCACCATGCACCATCTGGCTGTTCTCTAAATCAAAATGACCATTAAAAGGAAACATTTTGAATTGATTCAGGGCATTGAGGCAGCCAGGGCATTCCAATTAAAGACACTCAGAAGACTGCCAAAACTGCTTCAAAAAGTGGCAAGAAAAAAAGTGGTGTCTATTTGAAGTGAAAGGGAATATTTTTTTGAGGGGGACTAATGACAATATGGCTTTTACCATAATATTTTTTTTAATTTAAAAATTCACATTTTTTCAATCCCATCTCATATGCATTCAGTGCTACAAATTTTCTTCAAAGCACTGCTTTCCCTGTACCCTGAAAGTTATAAGGCATATTTTCATATTCTTTTTTTTTTTAACTGGGGATCGAACTCGGGTCCTTGTGCTTGCGAGGCAGGCCACTGAACTGCTGAGCTAAATCCCCGGCCCTTCATATTCTTTTATTTCAAAATATCTTTAAAGTTTTAAAAGTCTTTTTGACTTATATTTTATCTAGAATTGTGTTTTTGAACCTTCCAGTATTTTAAGGTATTTCAATTGTCTTTCTGTGATTGATTTCTAGTTTAATTCTACTGTGGTTCTGAGAGTTTATATTGTAGCATTTTTTTCCTTTTAAATCAGTTGATGTGTGTCTTGTAGTGCTAATATTATCCTGTTTGGTGAAGGTTCCATGTGAGATCAAGAAGAATATGTTCTGCTGCTGTTGAATGGAATAACCTACAAATGTTATTAAGACCCCATTTGATGATGGTAGTGCTCAATTCATCTGTGTCCCTATTACTTTTCTGCCTATCTGGGATATCCCTTGCTTTCTTTTTTTTGGTATCGGGGATCGAACTCTGGACCTCATGCTTGCAAGGCAGGCAGTTGCACCACTGAGCTAAATCCCTGGCCTGGGATATTCCTTTCTATTAGAGATTTTCAAAATATACTGCAGTGACAGTAGATTTTTCTACTTCTTTCTCTTTGTGGTTCTATCACTTTTTTACTTTGTGTGTTTTATGCTCTGTGGTTAGGCAAGTGCACTTTAAGGATTGTTGTGTCTTCTCTGAAAACTGACCCCTTCATCATGTAATGCCTCTTCCTATCCCTGATAATTTTCCTAGCTTTGAAGCCTGTTTCTTATGAATTCTATATAAATGCTTTTGGTTTCTTTTGTTTAGTGTTATCATAGTATACCTGTTTTCAACAACTTTACTTTTAATATAGCTGTGTCTTTCTATTTAAGGTGGGTTGCTTACAGACAGCCTATATAGTAGGATCCAGATTTTTATTCATGCTGACAGCCTTGCTTTAATTCTATACCACTGGTATTTGAAGTGGTTTGATATAATTGGATTAATGTCATATGTAGCATTTGTTATTGTTTTCTTTCCTTTTATTTATTTTTGTTTTTTGAGACAGGGCCTTACTACATAGTTCAGGCTAATTTTGAAATCACAGTGTACCCCAGTTCATCCTGGAACTCACAGTAATCCTCTGCCTTAACCCCTGGAATGCTGGGATTACAGGCCTATGCCCAACTTTTATTCTTTTCATTTTCTTTTTATAGAAAAACATTTATTGATACATTTTAGGTATATATAATGGTAACACTCATCATAGGGAATTTGCACCTGTATGTGATACATCCTTCCTCTTTTTCCCATTTCCCCTGCCTTCTCAAGCATCCTTCCCTCCCTATGTACAAAAGCTTTGTTTCTATTTTTCCTTCTATTTTCATTTTTCTCTTGTGCCTTCCTTCCTTCCTCTCTTCTTCCTCCCTTGTTCCCCTTCCCATTTGAAGATTTTCTTCTCATTTCCCAATATGTATCATACCTTTTAGTCCTTATTGATGCTTTCAGTTTCTCACACTAGAGAAACAATGCAGTATTTAAACATGTGTGTCTGATTTATTTCCCTTAAGAGTATGGTCTCAAGGTCCTTCCATTTAGCTCTCAATGTCTGAAGCTTATCCTTCTTCTTCTTCTTCTTCTTCTTCTTTTTTTTTTTTTTTTTTTTTTTTTTTTTTTTTTTTTTTTTTTTTTTTTTTTTTTTTAGAGATTGTCCAGGTTTAAACTTTTTTATTCAATGATAAGCAAACATCAGAATTAACAGTAAGCAACTCTATATCCCAACTTTTCTCAGACCAAAGACAAAGGACCAACTTAGCAGACACTAATTTAAGGACCCTGACAATTTGTCACCCCAGCCCACTGTTAGTCTAGGTGGCCAGGCCTCAACAAGAGCAAGGCTATCCCTCCTACTGCTGTTTCCAGCTGCTCCCTTTAAAGGACCCAGAACAGGACCCTGACACCTTCTAAGCCACCAGAAAT